ACCGGGGGGGGCGGCTTGTTTTACAACGTCGTTGCCAAGCGACGAAAACCCAACCCCGATGGCAAACACCACCGAGGGGGGGGGGCTGAAAAATTCTCAGGAACCCTTGTGCAGGGAGAAGCAGTGGCGGTTTGGATTAGACGATCAGACACGCCTGTTTGTGAGTGGCAGAGCTTCCTCAAGAACCGCCAGGTACCCCATTCAAGTTCCCAAATGGGACGGGATGGGGTACGTCGCGAATACGGAGGTTGACGGTGGTTGTATGATGTTGATGCGCACTCACCCTAAGGTCACTATATGGCCGGGTGGATTTGAAACGGTGAAGTGCATGTGTTCATCTGGGAAGAGGAAGCGAGGCGGTCGCTGCACAACCTGCGTTTGCGCTACTAAAGGGTCTGGTTGCTCAGAGTTGTGCAAGTGCAAGCTTACATGCTGCGACGAAGACACAGAAGAAAGTGAGGTGCAGGTGGATGATTCAGCTGAGGAAGGACTAGTGGACGAAGATAATGGCAGTGACAGCGACGACGAAACTTTGCCGGGTATGCTTGATTCTACGACGGAGTCAGGATTAAGTGGAGGCGTGGTTTTAGGTTGTTTCCAGGAGGATGACGTTCATGAGTACGATCAGACAGAGGAATACGCATGGCGGCATGATGTAGGACCACAGTCGGATCTGCAGCCGAGTGACATTGGTACCTCGGTACCTTTGGGTGAGTGAGTGGACTAATGAAACGTCAATTTGAGATTTGTTTGGTCGGAGTTTGCGTCTCCGGGTGCTGACAGCGGCCTTCATTACAGGCTGTTGAAGTCGGCCACTTTTTGTGCGCACGCGGTACACGGCAATTTGTTTTATTCCGCAATGCACCCGCGTGTCAAGTAACCCCTTCTCATGTCGCCACCACACCACCGTCAAAAAGACATGCGCCTTGGTAACTCGGCCACTTTTTTACAGTCACCCCGTACACCGACGCAATGCACACGCGTGTCAAGTAATCCCTTGTCTTGTCGCTACCACAACCCAAACAAAAAAACTCGCGCCTTGGTCACTCCGCCTTTATTATTACTGCGCACCCCGTAAACACGCACCGCGTAAACAGCAGTTTTTTTTGTTGTACACCATGCACACGTGTGTCAAGTTACCCCTTCTTCATGTCCAGACCACAACGCAAAGGAAAAAATCGCTTCTCAAACCAGTATCCATCACGTGCGTGTGACAATGCGCGTGGCTTGAAAATGCTTGTATTCGTAGGGCAACACCCCCCGACAACATGCCCAACCTCGATCGGGGCGCAACTATTACGAAATACCCCAGTTCGAACCTGCATTCCTCCTACCCCACCCCATGTTCCACTGTTCAGAAGTGTGAAAGGGACGTTACGCCTTCTGTATGACCAACTCGAACTAGTTACTGCTATTCAGTACAGAAAACAAGCCTCGTCCCGTTGCCGCTGCTCATTTCCGGGGTATACCACACCCCTCAAAATTCGCCCAACTTCGCCCTGTTAACACACGTGTATCTGGCTCTCCTTAGAAACACACACATAGATGGGGGTTCGTTTGAAGCCAACCACCCCGGTCGGCGCAGGGTTCCAGAAAAGAGACAGGGAGTTTGACTGCCACGCCTTATGTGGCTAACAACGTCGCGGCCTTGACAAAAGCCAAAGCACCGTTGTACGGCGGGCTAGTCACGACCCAGTACAGGCCTTTTCCCGGACGAAGCTGCGACGAAGTCGTCCGGGAATGACTCCAAGCTTGCTTCAAGGTTGGTATCCGCTGGACGCCTGGCATCGATAACAGCAAAACAACTTTTCAGCGATCGCGCACGTGACAAAAAAAAAATGCGTATGCTGCCGTTTCACCCAAGGTGTGAGAAATTTCCTTTTCAACACCAACACCCACTGGACTTTCAACAGCAACGTCTATGTTTGAGGAGAGTTTGGTCCGTGCCTGTCAACACGGCGCGTGACCTTGTCTAGTCAAAGAGCTGAATGCCTACTGGAGTTACTGGCCTTTGCATATCGGGCCATATCATACGTATGACAACAGCCAGCCCCGTGAGCAACGGTTTGGGGGGGAAAGAACAGCCCCGAGCGAACTCACAGACAGATGCGGGGGAGAAATTTGCACACGCATTACCAACACGGGGCACGCTTCGTTTCGGGTCTGAACAGGATATACAATCTACATGTGCACACGATGACGTTTGAGGTTCTAACTTTCAGTACATCATATGAAAGACGGGACAAATTCCCGCTGGGCTCCTTTGAAAACTCGCACCACGTCCTTATTACCCCGAGCTCACGTCGTTCGTGAGAACTTCACACGTGGATCGAAGACGGGCCGCCACGGCGTCGGTGGGCCCACCGCACATGTCCGAAACACATCCCGTGATATCCACAGAACCCAGCAAAGCGTCCACTGCCTCAGGTGAAGTGCAGTACCTATCAAGCAATCGACGCTTGAGGTGTATTTCTGGTTCTGGAGCAGATTTCCAACCCTTGGCATGGCGCGGCGTCCGCGCTGCCTTGCGCGCTCTCCGGTCTTTACTCCGGTCCATGCTCACCTGTTGCTCGTGCTTTCTTTTACAGCTGTAGCAAGCAAGCAGGGCGTTTGCACAGTGCGAGGGTGATTGTGCCTACGCCACGCTCGTCCAATGGCAGGAAACTTGTTTGCGATGCCGACCTCGTCTACGAAGTCCCGGACTTTGTTGGAGGTCCTAGGCCTCATGTGTCGAAAGGCGGAAGCCTCTCCTCCTCGGAGGCATGCGGAACAGCGGTTTCCAGGTTCCGACATATGATGAAAACCTGGTGAGAATTGGTAATACAGAACCAAGAGTGGTTTTCAAGAGTGGTAACGAGCTACAGTACATGAAACATCAGAGTGTCAAGGACTACAGTACATCATTTCCACACGTACGCAGCTGTAGCGGCAGCATAGACTCGGGACCGGACGCGGCTACGCGGCGATTTGCGAGGGTCCGCCGCGTAAACGCGTCTTCGAGGCATCGTTGCGCGAACATCTACATCAGCGTTCACAGGCACATCTCGGGCACTCTGCTCACCCCTGTACGAGGAACATGGGGCGAACAAGTAAGCGTTCGTACGCTGGTGCGAGTGTCGGCATCGAGGGGCAGAGTGCTGTGCCCATCTTGTCACAGTGAAAACGATGAGAGCTACCGCTCAGTGGTGCGGGAGTTCAGGGATGAGCGATCACCAAAGGGTGTAGAAGGACGCGCCACTGCAGATCGACGAGAAAGCTATGTCGCGCAGATACCTGTAGTTACCACCGCTTGGTCAGAGAAAAGCGTCATCCAAGAGTAGATCAGCGACGTGGAATATTTTTCTCGATTTCTTGAATCCAGGTTCGATCGTGAAACGACCTCCATCGCGGCAGCCCAGTCTACAGGCGTAGTTGAGTTCCTCTGTTGGTAAGATTCCTGTGGAGCGCGGCGCTGCACTGTGGTTCATGCGCGTTACTGTTCCGCGGTGGGTGCAAATGATCTTACCGCATGTTCAACTGGGCCGGGAGCATGCAGTCTTCGATACACCAATGATTCGCTCCGGTCTAATTATGTGTTCAAATTGGCTATGGTGTTTGAGAAGGAGTTAGGGATCGTGGACCCATGGAGCAGGACATTACACGTTGGAAACCCGGTTCGGAGCGAGATGGTTACCCGATACATGGCATTTACTACGGAGGAGCAGAAACGGGCAGGAGTCCTGGTTAAGCAAGCGCCGGCGATCCTTCGCAGCCATTTAGACGCAATCTTCAGGCCTATGAGGGTGACGCTCCAAAACTCCGCCTCAAAAATTAGAACGAATTACATTGGCTAGATAGAGACATCGCCTTCTTCACAGTTGCTTTTAGTATAGTACAACAAAGCGGGGCAATGAGCTTACACTTATTCAACGTAACTCGCGCCTGCCGAATCGAAGCGGACTCATGTTCAATTTCTAATGGGGGAAGACGCAGCGTGATGGGGCGGATCATGTGCTGAGTATACCCTTCGACGATGAGTACGTGGCGATATGCCCTGTTCGAGCAGTAACACAGCTGGTAGAGAATGGGCAAGGAGTCGGCTGGGACATGACACAGGAATATCTGTTATCAGACATCTCAGCAGGGCGCAACGGAATGCCGTCGAGGGCTCTTTTGCCCGTTTCGGCATCAAAGATGGCTACTGCTCTGAAGAAATACGCGCAAGCAGCCGGGCAGAAACAGGGGGTTTCGTTGCATTCGTTCAGGTCCGGGGGGGCTGTAACTCGCGTTTTTCAGGGAGGCTCTTTGTCGAATATTCATGGGGTTCCCCGCCTTTCACCAGTTCATTTTTACCAGTTCGGCACGAACTGGCGAAAAAT